ACTTTAGTGTCAGCCATGATGACAGCGGTCGGTCCAGCGGGGACTAACTGTGAACATTGTCGCCTTTTTTCCAGCCGCCATCGTCCTGAATCCTGTTGCTGTTGTTGTTGTTGTTCGTGTGGGCTGACCATTTAACGGAGTGGCTGTCGCAGTCGTACCATGTTGTCTGTTAACATGCCCAGTGGTCTTGTCGACACTGCGATAAAAAAAAACACACACACACCCACTCGGAATTTAGGTTTTTGGCCATAATGAGGGTGATTTTCGTATTTGTGGTAGATTTGTCCACTTAGCAGCATGACCACGGCGAGGACTTGGTTTTTGATGCTCTTGCAATTTGCCGGCCTCTGGACGTTAAGGCAAATCATTTGTACATTTTCACAGTGGATTAGCGTAGGCCTGTTAGCTGGTCCTGGCTGCTTCTCCTGGCTGATAATGTTAATAATTTGTAATGCCTGCACATATACATATTTATTTATTTTATTTTTTTTTTTTTTGGTCTATTTTGCGGCCGAGCCCATCATCATGATATATGTATTCGCCAGCATGCATGACCATGATTTGCGCTAATGAGCGAGATACAAACTTCCATTGTTCCAACGCATAGGCTATGTTGCGGGCGTTTTTTGGGTTTTAATTGGCATTTCTGCTGAGGCGGCGTCAACTTTTTTAATAAAAAAAAAAACCAAGAAAAAACCGACAGGAATTTCCATTTCGTGTGCATGCAAATGAAAACCCAAATTCGGTACTGTTTCACTCCATTCAAATCCAGTTGATTTTCATTACCAGCAGCGGACAGACTCAAGTGCGGGTCCGCCAAGTGGTGAAATGTGTACACTATTGTCTACGGATTTTCAATATTATTTGCTGCGGTCTCCTGGACACCCGCAGACACCCCCACAGGGACGAAACAGCAAGGAGCTGAACCTGAATCTGAACCTGACGCAGCGCTGTCTTGGGTTCATTGTGCGACAGTCGAGGATGTTCATTGTAACCGATTTCAATTGGGCATTTTATTTTATATTTGAATTTTAAAATTCCTTCCGCACCGGCGACAGCAGGCGACAGGAAAATGGACAATTTGTGTTTGTGGCAATTGATTGGCAAATATTGTCCGGCCAAATGGCCAAGGCGAAAGGTTGACTGATTAATACGCAGCGACAGCAAGTCAGGAAAATATTTCTTTTAATTTATTCTTGCAGCTCGTCGGATTAAAATAATAAAAAAAAATATGCAACAAATTTGGTCAATATATTTGCTGCTTTTTGTTTATTTCAATACAGAAAAAAAAATGGTACAGATTAAGATTTGTAAAAATGACAACAATTAAAATAAATTCGTGGGAATCAAGACGAAGTTTTTGTATACATCTATTACAATTTATCGATTAATGCCTATTAAGTTGCTGATAACTTTTGCCAGGCAGATGTAGCTTGATAGCTTAGAATTTCATTAGAAATATTTCACAGATTATTGGAAATAACACATTCGGGGTATTTTTGATAGTTGCACAAAAAATTATGATTTTTCATATGTGCGAATATATAACTTTTATTATATTACCTATGCTAATATTACTTAGAGAAAAGTCACAGTCCTATAAAAGCTTTAAATATACTATCCGCCATTTTTATAAAAAAATACCGATTTTCAGGACTTCCAGTAAAAGCGATCTTTAGAGAAGCTTGACTTTATTCTAAATTTGAATAATGTTGCTCTAAAACTATCGCAGATAGACAGATATAGCAATAGTCTGATCTCACGGGTATAAGAGAGTCCATATACAAAGACTCAAGTATCCAAAGACTTTTGCACAAAACCAATATACTCTTTTCTCTTTCTTAAGCATTAAAAAGATAACCCGAAAATATGCAACTGCTTAATAAAAGTAACTATGTTTTTCCTAGTTAAAATAATGTTTGGAGTTAACTTTGCACTTAGCTGCTGCCAAGTTGACATGAATGACAACTCATCCATGGCCATATGCACCATTTAAGCGCCTTTAAGGCGACTATAAAAAAGTTGGGCAATTCGTAAGTCGCATGCAAATTACAAGCAATAAAACGAGGCACGTCGATGCTCGGTCTAACTTTGGAGGCTAAGAGCCAGAGACGCCCCCAAGCCAAAGCGATTATTCTTTATTGTTTAGACAACGATGGCAAGAACAACAGCAGCAACAACAACAACAACAACAACAACAATAACATGAAACAGCCGCTTGTAACAATTCTCACATCATACGATTGGCATTGAGATTGCGTTTTGGGTATTGGAAATTCCCAAGGCTGTCATATGTAAGCACAGCTAGACAGGCACAGGCTAGCACATTGGGAATATGTAAATTTGTCACCGAACAAACAAAAAAGGAGTGAAATAATCATAAACATGTCAAGTCAGACAACGAGAGCAGCTCCCTGCTCGGAACAAAATCCTGAATTGAATTTTTATCTATTGTATAGGCAATAAAGATACATTGTCAGTGCGTCTGTATAAAATTATTATTATTTACTTTTGGGCGGATGCGGCAAAAAGTTAAAGAAAAAAATATAAGGGCTCAACCGGGATTTGAACCCGGGACCTCTCGCACCCAAAGCGAGAATCATACCCCTAGACCATTGAGCCGCACATGATCAAAGCAAGTTTTAAACATATTTTATATTTTTAATCGCTTCAATCAACTTTTGGATACATCTGGCATGCATAATTTATTTTATATATATATACAACTCCAGCAGGTTTATTTATATTGCTTCTTTTGTCTTGCTTGTTTTTTTTTTTAGCTGAAGCGTTCGCCTCTGGTCGAATAATTTGTTTTTGTTTTTATTAATCGTAGGTTTTAATATATTTTACCCTTATCATTTGGCCGTTGATTTATTGACTTTTAAATGGTGCAGTTTCTCAACACGCAGCTGACTCATCAAATTTGTTTTGTCTTCTCCCTTTTGGGCATGCTTTTAATTTAATTTGAAAAGTTTTGCCTGCCCATTTGGCGCATTAAACCCTTTGACCTCCACGCAAAAAAATACGCTGTGCAAAATAAATTTAAAAAAAGAAAAGGCAAAAGATGTCTCATAAATAATTATGATAACTGTCAGAATTTTGTGCTGCGCTTTTGGCACGCTACAAATTGCCACGCCCTCGCAGTTGCCCATACTTGCGCGGAAATGCAATTAACTGGTCTTTAATTTTAGGCCAACCGAAGAAATAATCTTAGACTACGAAGTAACAAAATACCCGTCATACAATATTTGATAAATATGAAATAAAACTGAATTAAATATGATGTTGAATATGTATTGAGAGCAGTTTAAAACACCTAAACTGGTTAAAATTTTATTAATAATTCTTGGCCCTAAATATAAGCCAAATAATTTTTTAAAATTATATCAATATTAAAGACGATAGGTAAAATAGTATTTAGGAAAATCTAATATTTTTCTGTGCTTTTTTAAAGCTTTTGCAGCTTGTGTTTTGCGGCCTTTTATTTTTTATTGTTGCCAGCTCAAGTTTTGTGTCGTGATAAATCACAAAACTGAATCCAAGGAAGATTTATGAGCTGCTAAATATGCTTACAAAACAATTGGGGGGAGGATTTGAACTGGCCGTTTGCAAAGTTTAGCACTAACTTTGTGCATATATGAAAATTCAAAATGCAATTATCACATATATTTTATGTGTATGTGTGGATGGATCTATGCTATACAGCACATGACGCCTCTTAATGTGAATGTATCTTTGTCGCTGTTGATTTTCATTTTCGCAGATAAACAAAACAAGATCCTAAATAAACACAGCATGGTCAAAACAAGGAGAAAAAGTTTATAGAAATAGCCCCGACAGACAAAAAACAAAATTTGTTTTTTAATTGAAAATTAGCAGCAACAAAAAATGTATTGGCAATATAAATGGAATGGAAAAGGTTTCTCTACTTTTGAGCTGGAAGACTACACTGAGATATGTTGGTGTATTCCATTTGTAGCAGTATTTGAATTGTGTGCACCTCAAGTCAGAGATTATGAAAATTATTCCAATTAATGCCCAAGCAATTTTTTTCCGCCAAGTTCTCGGGTCCCACTTAAAGACCATTAACCATTAAAAAAGCACAAGCAACTTTTACACTTTGCGTGCCAAAGGCAACAAAAGCCAACTACAACAACAAACTAACCGAAATGCCAACCAACCAAAATAACAACAGCAACAACAATAACAACAGTAAATAGAGTTTTCTTTATTTATTTTTTCAACAACTTTTTACCTTTTTCCAACTCATTTTCAAGTGCCTCGCTGAGCGCCACTTAGTTTGTTGTTGCTACTGTTTTCGCAGTGTTCTTGTTGTTGTTGGGAAAAGCCATTAGAAAAAGGCTGCTTGAGTGTTAAATGGGTTTGGGTCTTGGATGCTTGGATGGGGCATTGCATTGTTTTTGTTCGACTAAGTCAACAAGGTCGAGGGTTAATGAAAGTTGGTCGATCACTCAAGCTTTCAGCTCCCGTGGCCATATACTTGTGGCACAGCTTTTTTTTCAACTCTAGATATCTAGTAGGCACACGAAGGGGCAATAATACTCTCGATTGACGAGCTAGAAGAGCATATATGTATTTTTTGAGAAAGTAAGGAAAACTTAATACCCTTGTAGAGAGTTGCCTTACAGTTCTCCCAATATATACATACATACTCGAAAACTTTCCCTTTGATTTAAAGACACTTTAAGACGTTTAAAGAAATAAGTTTTAAAGAAGCTCAAAATCAAAAGAAAATTGGCACGTCCAAAGGCAATGCAATTAAGAATTCGTCAATTTTTCTTACGTCTTCTTATTATTAATATCATTTATTCTGGCACATTCAGTCAAAGTGGGGGGTACGAACTTAAATGTTCTATAAGCGGAATCGGGTAGCAATAGGCTGATTATACAAAAAATTTCCAATTTAATTTTAAATAATTTATTACTATTACTATACTTATTAATATTAGGATTATTGATTTTTAATATAAGAATAAGAATAAGAATTTTAACTAAAATTTAATCATAGCGTTGAATTGATCTCGTTTTTGTTGCTTTAATGCCTCGTGCTTCTTGCGTTCGGCATTTTTGATTAGAATCTCTTGAAATTTACGGCGTGTGGCCAAGGGAACGCCCGTGTTGCGTAGATCTAACTCTTCGAGCATTTTGTTACAGTTTATGATCTTCAGCAAATGTTTGCCAAAATCCTGTCAAAGGCAAATTTTGGCATTTAAGCATTTATTGCCAGTGTGCGCAACTCACCTCGCCCAAATAATTGTTTGATAGATCAATGCAGAGCAATGTCTTCTGCTGGCATATCAGTATCATGAACAACTTGGTAATGCTTTCGCTGATGAAACAGCTGGCCATGTCCAGTTGCCTGATGGGCATCAGCTGCAGCGTGTTAAAGATGGCAGCGGCGCCATCGCTTTGTATGGGATTCAGGCGTAGCACGAGACGCTGAAGGGGCACATGTGTCAAAGTTCGGCTGAGCGTGTAGGCGCCCTCCTCCGCTAGTTGGAGTAGAGTGGAGTTTGAGCGTTAGCTAAGGAATTGAATATATCGAAGTGTCTACATACTAATTTTATTGTTGGTCAAGTCGAGGTCAGTCAGAGTGGCAAAGGATTCCTTGCCGCAGGTTTCAAGGAAACAGCGTATGCCCGCATCGCCAACCGCACAGTGCAGCAACGATAGCTCCTTCAGGTGGTGACAGCCCTTGTCCAGGCTATGTGCCAGAAAGCGCAGCTGATACGCCAACAACTTTGTATTGTGCAGGCTAAAAGAAGGAGCTGATACTCAGATACAAGAGATTTGCGGCCTCGACAAAGGCAAGACTTACCAAAACTTGCGCAGCTCATAGCATTGGCTAAGTCCCTTGGCCAGCAGCAGTATGTCACGGGCCGTCAGTTGATTGCAGCCTATTTGGTAATTGATGCCCGCTGTCTTCGTGCTGTAGCTCAGCCGCAGTCGGCGTAAGTCCGGCAGATTGCTCAGCAGGTAATCAAGCGGAATGTGATCTGTTGTGGATGGGTTGACACATTATGCTATTGTTGAGCGCATTGTAATTTAATGACAACGTTTGCAATTCTTTAAGATTTTTAAATGATACTCCTTAAAATTAAGTGATGCATAAACGTGCCACGCAGCTCAAATAATGTTCAATTGGAGTTACATTAAACAATTTGTATAAAAAGGTAAAATCTTTAAAACCTTTATACCTCGTTTCCATGATGAGTGTTAAATGAAGATGAGCTTTTGAGTGAAAATGTAACTCTCAACCCCTCAGGGCCTGCCAAAAAGGATTTCTGGCTTATGTGCGGCATATGTCTTTGATAAATTGTATTATACGACCTTGAGGATAAGATTGATCGTTTGAATCTGGAATTTTCTACCAGATTCATTTCTAAAGCAGCACGAATATATGTCATCAACGAAATTTTTGCACTTATCTCTTATTTTTTCTATTATTTTTTCTATTTTTCCTATTTTTTTTTTTTTTACACATGTCTTGTGTGTGGAATTTCCCAAGACATCTCAGCGTGTACTTACATGAAATGAGAAAACAATTCAGCTTTCTTTCGTTTAGCTTTTTTGGATCTGATTCGATCTACAAGCTATACATTTCACAAAATTGGGTGAAAAAGGCAAGGGGTGAATTTACTGAACAGTGTGAAACAACTTTAAAATAAATTCAAACAAAGATCGTTCCTAACGTGTGGGTGAAATTGCCGAAGACGTCGTCTCTCTCGCATCTTCACCACATCAAATAACTTTAGTTAAGAATTCAGCCCTAAATTTTTGGGCTGTGCATTGATCCACAATCAGTCAGTCAGTCAGTCAGTTACATATACAAAGATTAGGGTATACAATCTCCACTCCGTCAACAGGCACTCACCATTGCTCTCGCTGCCTGGCGGCGGGGGCTGTAACAGATTTATCTCGAGTTGATTTATGTACGCCGCACAGATGTCCAAGGCGGCCTGCACATTGCCATCCTGCTCGTAGTCGCCGGTTTGCATATTTTCAATAAACTCCTGCACATGTCGCTCCATGTAAATGTTAATCCAGCGCCGTTCCCTGCCGCGCGCCTGCATTGGCGCCAAGCGCCAGCGCAGCTCATAGCAGCGCCGCCAGAAGTAATCGTCACGGATGTGAGAGCTGAGCAACTGCAGCGGCAGCTGCGTATCCAGCTGGCTGAGTATATAGTTACGGTCCTGGCGTCGTCGCAGCTGACGGTAGAGCGGCAACTCTGGGAACAGACAGTTAGACAGTTGTCATCTTGGGTCCTGTGGACTACCCTTACCGTTCCAATTGCTGACGATGGCATCGAGCACAAGCTGTCGCAGACTTTTCGCTTGATTTGCTTGTCCTTCGTCGGTCTCGAGCTGGAAATGGTCCAATGATTTACTATTGACTTGGGGAAGCTTGACATCCTTGGGATCGAAATAGGCCTTGAAGGTGTCAATAGAGACGGTGCTGGGGAATTCGCAATACGTGAAATCCATCTAAGGAGTTGTCTACTCCACAAACAATGAACATTTAAATACATTTGTTAGGAATAATAACATAACTGTGGTTAGTCATGGAGACAGGAAACTGTTGCCCGGGCAACTTCTTGTCTAGTATTGGTAAGCGCCTAGAGATTTTTCTAAACCAAAACCAAAACGTCAACTTGGTTTTTGCGACCGATTGTTTCTATATAAGTTTTATGACATAGTGGTACGAAATTGATAAGATTTTTTCGGATGGTTTCTTTGTCAGACATATGAAACACATCGAAGTAGCTTTTTATGCTGTTATGGAGTATATATACTTTATGGGGTCTGTTGCAGACAGTAAATATGTCAGAGGTTAAGGCTTACACTAAAGTAAATCTGCTTGCAAGATTGATCACGGCTGGCGATCGTTGGTGGAAAGCTGCTGTCTTGGAAACTATTGCAGATAAACACCGACAACACGTTGCTGCAAGGACTCGGCCTATCAGTCAGAAATGGTGCAAGCTCGTATACTCAGCATTTTATTTTATTTTTTACATGTGCTATATTCATTGATTTCTTATAGTTCATGGGCATAATAAGTCCACCTGAGACCATGTCCTAGGCTGGAGCATAGCCCAATAAATTCATATCTGAAATATATAGTATGTTAAGATCAATTTCAACGTATATGTTCACGACAAAACAACCTGATGAATCGGGTACTTGGGAAGTAAATATTCCATGCGCTGATGTCGCCTCAACATGCACTCATGAAAATCTCTAAACTTAATAAAATCTTTTGTGTGGCATTCCTCTGGGTTTCCCTTCCTAAAAAGGCTCCTTCGTAGATCCATCATAATGGCCCTGTTTTTGTGCGGATTGTAATATCTGTGGATCTTTATCCAGTTCATTACCTTGGGTTTATTATAGATTGTAGACCTTCCGAGGCACACTTTATCCAATGTCTTGCTGTTTTTAAATAAAAAGGGAAAATAGATTGATAGATGGGCTAAAAAATTGCTCATTGATCCATGTATGGAGTATAGGGAATCAGCAGTGTATTCACTTGATTCATACCCCGTTAATTGGTCACAAAATTAAGTAGTTGTACCTACTTGTATGGGTGATAATTTACGAATGGGAATTTATCAACAATAATCCTTGGGATGGTAACGAGCGAGTGGATGTTAAAGCGCGTATCCTCCCATACTTTTCCATAAGTGACACCCCATGGATTGTAGACCCAATTGCCCATGGAATCAGTTTTGAATCTGGGCACCGATACAGTCCATTCGCCGACAGTCTTTGTAGTATCCGCTTCCTTACCTCCTCCTCCACCTGCTCCACTTTCTCCACCTCCTCCACCACCTCCACCTCCTGCACTTTCTCCACCTCCTGCACTTCCACCACCTCCCGCACCTCCTGCACTTCCACCACCTGCTTCATCTTTCTCATCTTTCTTTGTAGTCACAGTCTCATCACCGCCTTCCCCAGCCCGGGGTCGCACCGAATCCTTGATGAACTTGGTCAGTTCAGCCGGGTTATGAGAGTTATGTTTCTGAAACATTCGTATGTTATGCCTGTCTTCTGCGACCTCATGATCGTCTAAAACTTTTGTATTGGGCGTAGAGATATTTTGTCGAAACTTTGTTCCGTATTGCTTTGTGTTATTTGCAGGACTTTTTAATGGATTGGCGTCAATATTACCGAAACGAATTACCTGTTATCTGAGAGGTAATTGAAGGGAAAATTATGCTTAAGTAAGCTACTTACATATACTAGACAGACGAAGGCAATACTTATAAATAAATTTAACTCCATGTTTCTACTAAGCCCTGTTGTTGCTTACAGTTTTGAGCAAACATTAATAAAATTTATTACATAAGTAACTAAAGTAAAAGCCAGAGCAAACTAGATGGAAAGAAATATTGCACTGACTATGACTAGAATCTACAGTTGACTCTGGAGACGCTGTCAAACGTGAAAGTATTAACAAAATGAACAAAACTCTCTGGATCTGTGTACTCTGCTCATAAGATATGATATCAATTGGTATAGATTTGGTATAACTTAATATGTGGTCCTTGGAGAACCCAAATTGTGAATATAAAGTCTCTGGCTTTTCTGATCTCGGCGAATGTTGCAATTGGCAACTGATGCTGATCGGAAATATATTTGCTTTGTCCTAAACACGCTTATAAAAGGAAAAACAAAATAAGCGATACAACGCCCCAACAAATTTCGCCTTGTCAACCAGACAATGTCTGGGCGCATATTCGAAATGTGGCCAAGCGCAACGTTAAGTGCCATAAAAATAATTCAAAATAAATTGCTTTGCATAAAAATTGGTGCGCATTGTGGGTAAAGGCAAGAAACGAAACTGTTTTATAAGGTAGGTTAAAGGTATAATTTGGCCATAATAATGCGCATCATGAAAATTTAACACACACACACACACACACATACTTGGGTTCGCATAGACAAGCTGGGTTATTAATTTTGGCGTCGGATTTTTGCAGAGCCATCGTCGCAAGACATAAATAACGCGTTTTATACGAAATACTTTGCATATTTACTGGCGCCGCACAACTAAGCCATAAAAATTACAAGAATCTTAGACGGCAAAGTCAAGAAGCTCCGTCATGTCAGCTGCGGATTCGGGGCTAAGTCGCAGGTAGATTTTCGGTGTGAATGGCCACAATAAAAGCGCCCAAGTCAATATTATTGGCTAACTAAGCCCAGCTGGGGGCGAAAGTGGCCCCAATGATGCCGCAGAATAAGCGCCCTGTAATGACATGTAATTATGGTCATAATCGGCTTGTCACTTGGGAAATTATCGGCTCGCCCTAAAACGGTTTTGATATGCAAATGTGATGCTTCAAGATAAACAGGTTGTACTTAACAAGTTGTGGAGTAAGCTAACTAAATAAAATACGTTAATCGGGCTTCACACAGTTTTTCTCTAGCCGAAATAAGATATCCGCTCTAGTCTATAGAAAAACTTTAGCATCACTATTTTATATTCCTGCACAGAAACTGGAGCTCTTCAAGCCAGGTTGTAAAAAGCTATATTTACTGTAGATATACCTTACTTCGAATGTTGTATTTACGGATTTTAAAAAATATTGATCTTTTCAAATATGCGATTATGCCCACATTTGTATGGACTTAAACTGAGCACAAGGTTGTTTGTTATAATATTGGGATTATGTCTATGAGAAATATTTCACTAAATAAGCCACATTGGAGAAAACTTAATGCTGAAACCTGAAAATGAACTTAAAAAAAAAAAAAACTAAATAATACTTATAGTTCTAATAAAAACAAAATATAAACATTTTAAGAATATTCTTTTTTATTTTGTTAAGCTAATGCAGAGCTTCATAAATTTATTTCTCGAAAATTAAAAAATATTTATATTTTATATCTCATCTTAACACATTTTTTATTTAATTGTAAATATTAATAATTGTATATTGATTTGAGAATTGCTAAAAGTTATATTTCATATTCAGGCCGCCTCCAAAATCGGACTTGCCTCTGAATGGACCGCTGAGGTGGCGTGTAGCATTTGCTGTGGCATCCAAATTGAAATTGCCACTAGGCGAGGTAATAAGATTCGCTCTGCCGCTGGCATTCATGGTCGTCATATTCAGCTGCGGCACATGGTTGACACCCAGAGCCGCCGAATGGCCGCCGGCGGTTTGCATGTTCAGACCGCCGCCAAATTGATCGTGAGTGCGACTGTGAGTGTGATACCCGGTCGCATTCAGCGCTGCCTGGTTATTCTGGAGAAGATTCGCTTGTGCGGCGACCGTTGTGCTACTGCCGAAGCCTTGTGTGTGTCCATGCTGCACTGATAGGCCGTGTCCATTGCTGGTAATCGAGTTAGCGACATAAGTAAGTGCTGTCAGTGAGTGAGTCTCTTGTGGCACTTACGCATTAACTGCTCCATACACGCCTTTTGTGACTGGTCCTGCGCTGCTGTTGGTCGTGGCAAAGACTCCGGCACGTGCGTTGACTTGTTCGTCTCCGGTCATTATTCCACATCTCACAGAGGCTGCTCCCGTCTTCGGATCTCCGCTTGTCTGACACTCCATTTTATAAATATTAATTAGCTTGGCAGTTGTTGAAGCTGTCGCTGTGATAAATACTCTGACGGCTTGTAGGGCGACAAACAGCTTTTTATACATTGCAGACAGAGGCACAGAGCACAGACCACAAGCTCGCGGTGCATTCCCGCACACAATCTTTACACGCTTTGACTAATACAAATTCATATGGACAAATATCCATAAATATATATGTGCTTCCCCCCACATACGAATGAGTATCTGTACATATATTAAAATAAACAGTGCGCATGGATTCCCCTAAGAGTATGTGAAATATATTATGTAAAAGTTATGAAACTTTATTACATTGAATTTACAATCAAAATGCATTTTGAAAGTAGTGAAACTTGTCTTAAGTCAAAATTAACACTTATTAGTATCAATACTAATGAAATTCTCCAAAAAAGTTTTATTTAAAAATAATTCGTTTTAAACATTTTTGTAAATACATCAAATAGTAACAAAATTATAAACTTCATAAAAAACAAGATGAAGCAAAATACATATATGTGAGCATCATTCATCATAAAATTCCATGCACCTATGTTTATTTTAGTATATTTGCGTTAGCATCTGAAATAAGTACTACTTGTGAAATTATTATCATTCTATATTAATTTTTTTTCACTTTTTGTGAATGACATATCTACTTAATTTAAAATTTGTATACAATTCTAACTGTTTGGTCATAATGCTTAAAAATGGCGCCGTGGCTTAGTTGGTTAAAGCGCCTGTCTAGTAAACAGGAGATCGTGAGTTCGAATCTCGCCGGGGCCTTTGCAAGCGGGACGCCGCGTTGTTCAGCAATTTTATTGCTGCGAGAATAAGTAAATAAAGTTTTTATTCTACTCTGCTATATTTTAAATCGAACTATTCCAAATTTTTTTTAAATAAGTATATGCATATATATAATTCAACTACAACTTCCAAAACCAATATTTAGAAGTTTTTGCGGGGCAGGCAACTGGCGCCGTGGCTTAGTTGGTTAAAGCGCCTGTCTAGTAAACAGGAGATCGTGAGTTCGAATCTCGCCGGGGCCTTGGCAACACTGGTAGTTGATTGCTGTACATATTTATTTTTTTTATTTCTAATAAAATTTAAAAAGTAGATAAGGTGTTTATTATGTTCCTATATAATATATTACGGAACTTATTCAATTGCATGTACATGGTTGAAGGAATGCATCTTTTTTATCACATATCTAACGCACACCTTATAGATTTTGGATTTCCCGTACTGTTCTCATCTGAGCCAGAACAAGATACAAAAAGTTGCAAACGTTCTTGTGTTGCTTTTGTGCGTCTGCATTGATGACAGCTGACAAAGTTTGCGCGCTGCAAACAGCGGACTCGAGTTCCCCTTCATGAGTAACAACATTCATGTCAGCCCACCCACGACACCATATAGATTACCCTGCCACCTGTTGTCCTCGCAGGCGACACTGCATAACGGAAGCCAGAGACACTGCACGACGGATATGTTCGACAGCATGTTGCGTGACTGTCGACTGTCGACTGTCGACTGGCCAGTTGGCGGTTTCTGTTGCCTTGGGGTTGGGCGGCTGGGGACCATTTGCTTTTGCAAATGTATCTCATGTCGTCGCCGACGGGCTTTCAATTATTTCTCTGGGGGGGTAGGCTGCAATTAGCCAGTAGCAATATTATTTGTGTCGATTTATTTGCAGTCGTTGGCTTATCTTTACTTTTTATACCCAAACGCACAAGACTGATAATTTCGTTCGTTGGGGGGCTTACACACAATATCAGCACAATGGTTAAAATAATAAATATGTGCATCACAACTTGTGACAATTGCCCACCAAGTTGTATGTATGTAACATATAATATGTGCATACACATTGTGTTATCATTTTTATGGATATAATTTCCAATGTCCTTCCTTTTGTGCGGTTGCCGGCAAGTCCCTTGTTTGTCGGATGCAGCAATGTCCTCTTCTAATTTCCTTATACGTATTATTATGTGAGTGTTGCTGACGATTGGATTAATCTACGGGATGGCTGGCTGATTATTGGCGGATTACGTCGATTAAGTGTGCTTCTATTATTATTTATTATTATCTGGCACGGTTATTTTTATTCACCTCATCACCTGGTAGAAAAACCATCAGACTTAATAGGACGTTCAGGACTTGCAGTTAAGACTACGGACTTACACTAGGTTTCCTTTCAACAATCCTTATTTCCTTACTTCTTTAAATATTAAGAAATTCGTTTTATTTACTTGTGCGTAAAATTTTAAGGTTATTTTCTAGCTAAAAGCTCAATTGTTGTGCCTTCAATATGTCTCATATATCATTTAAATTACCCCGACAAATCTTGTATGCATGTAATTGCCATGCCTGCGGCTCATGTTATTCGAAATATTCTGCCTTTCTCAAACCCAAAAAGAACTCCAGCAGCTTGTTGAAGGCGGTTGTCTCCCAAAAACCAAAACCCACACCCAACAGTTTTTAGCAATTGTCAGCAATTTTCTCAATAGACGGCAAAAACTATCGGACAGCAACTGGACACTCCGGCCAGGACTAAACAAACGTCATTTCGGCACACAATGTCGTTCTGGTGTTGCTGTGTATTTTTGTGATTATCCTGGACAGTTATCCTGGACAGCAGTTGAGTGGACTGCCCACACATGGTGGGCGTGTACATACCATGGGCATTAACATAATTTATGTGGTTCCGCCGGATTTAGCTTTGTCGTAAAAAAGGACACTCGGCCATTGTCCGTTTGTGTTGGCGTTTGCGTTTTGCTGCTTATTTCGATAACAAAGGCAACGCCGGACCGGATTGCGGTTTTTATTGTTTTTATGGCAACAAAGTTTATGAAAAGTCACCCTGCCAACGCTCTGTACGTAATTTGGTTTTAGTTTTCTGTCGAGTTTGCATATTTTTTGTTTTTTAATTAAATGCAAGTAGCCGCAGAAATCAAAGTCGTTTCATGTTCGGGGCGTAGCTTAATCTACGAAACCATTTCTCAATTTTGCCGTAGAGCCCATACTCCTTGACCCAGGGCAGGGCCATAAAAACGTGCGAAATTTTCACGGGCGCGTGAATTTTCACAGCATTTGCTTGTTGTTTTTGTTTTGCCAGACAGAGGATAAAAGTCTCCCCCACCCCTCCCATACATACAACACCCAGCTGATTGTTGTCACCTGTTTTAATACCCTGTATTTATAGAACACTGTGCATGGGTTGCTTGTGTTACCAGGCTGACCAACACAGAATAATTGTATATTGCCTGTAAAATGAATCCTTCAGTTCATTTTAGATTCTCGATGTATGTCACCTTAAGTATTCAAATGATATTTTTGATTGTTTCGTAAAAATAAAAATCTATAAAATATTTAGTCTCCTTAGTTTAGAGCTTGAGTCGAGCATAATTGACTATCATAGAAAGGAAACAATATACAATAATTGGAGGCTTATAAAGAGGTTAAGCTTCTGCTCGTATTTGATTTCAAAATCGTTTTTAAATAATGATAGTTTTATTACATTTTACATATAAAAAATTCACTTTCACAAGTGTAAATCAATAATTGGAATAAGTTCCCCAGGGTAGTTGCTAGTCGTGCAATGCAAATGCCTGGTTTATTAGCTGTTTTTAGTACACCTGGCACGCAGTGCTCATAACTCTAAATGTTGTTGTTGCTCGTTTTTAGGCTGGCATGCAGTGTAAAAAGCAAAAAAGTCAAAAACCAGGCAAGTTTTTTTTTTATTGTTTAACAATAAATAATGGCAAGCACGTGCCGGCACCGAATGCCTGGGAAAACTTTGCTTAAAGAGTCTAAAAGGAATTACTAATTTAAGAAAAAAAAAGTGAAAAGAATAGATATGGAGAAAATAGATTTTGTAGAAAAATTCCCAATTGCTGTCGTAACCTAATTATATATTTAAACGAGAGAGAAGCTTAGACATGCATTATATATATATATATATATATATATATTTATCTACCTATACTGGTATCTATATGCATTTGACATATTTTTAAATTTGAAGTCTCATTAATCGTTGTTTACTTTATAATTACAGGGTATATATATAAGCCCAAGGTATATTCACATATTGTAAGTCTCTTATCTTTTTGGGTTTCAGATTAATATAAGTATTAATTTATTTGAAAATTGTTCTATAAAAATGCAGGAATAATTATGCTTTCCTTATAATAATCTATATGCATGATTCAGGCCACGCTGCGACTTGAGCTTCTTTTACTGCAATCTTCACATTATCGCAGTCAAGGCACTATTTATTGGTTTTCGAAATCGTAAGTAAAGGTTGGAGAAGTTTGGGTATGTTATTTGCAACAAACGTTGCCGGCTTGAGTATGTTACAACACAAAATGTATTGTGACGATCTTGAAACGTTGAAGCCTCAACATTTCACGCTTGGCTGGCGCAATTGTAACCGATTACAAGAGCAACGGCTGCCCAAAGATTTAATTACAGGCCTCATTAGGCGGCATCGCATGGGCGGTGGACTGCCTAGCATAACATTTCATTGGGGCCTATCTGGCAGTTGTTGGGCGCAGTTTATCCCCAGACTTCAGTGTGCACAGTTGCTCGAAATGTCTACACTGGTAGGTGGCAGCACAGGCTCCTCAGCCGCAAGATCATCTCACTTAATAATCCTTCAACAGATTTTGCTGTTGCTATTGTTGCTGGCCGCCAGCTCTGCGGACATGCAGCAGGATGCGGAGGACGATTATGAGGCACAGCCGGAGAACTTTGATGGACGGTCTTTCTTCTTTCTGGGCACCTTGTTTCGACGTTGGCGCGATCGCTGGTTGGCCTTACAGAATCCTGCACCGCTCTATGCGGGCGCTGCTTTCCCACTCAATGGTTATTTCAACTGTCCGTCTTATGGCTGCAATCCTGCGGCCATTGGACCACAACCGGGCGGCTTCTATCCTACCTACTACGTTTCGCCGCTACAGCAGCAGCAGCAGCAGCAGCAACAGGCGCAAGGCAACAGCAATGTGTATATATATCAGACCGATCAGAATACCGGCAGCTCTGTGGCCAGTCCGCCCTATGGTCCCGGCTTCTTTGGGCCTGCTCGGCAGCCCACCCCGCTGGCACCGCCTGCGCCGCGTCCGCTGCCATTGCCGCCACCAGCAATGCTGCCACCGGCCACGCCGCCGCCTCAAGCGAGCGCCAGCAGCTTTGGATTTGGAGCTGGACCTGTTCCGGTTCCTGGGTGTGGACCCAACCTATCGTCATGTGCTTTCGGCTAAGCAGCCTCGCCTAAGTAAACAACGCAGACAAAGTAAAAGAAAACAATACAATTTTAATTGAAAAGCGTGCAACAAAAAAGGAAAACAAAAATTCACAAGAAACGAAATTCTTAGCTCCTAGCTAATGAATTTTAGTTACTCTTTCTTAGTCCTGGACTTAAGCAAAAACAGTTTGTGACTTGAGTTAAATGTTATATGATTAAAATTTTGGATTTGACAGACAAGACCTTCAATTCAAGGCATATCCTTATTATTATTGTTTAAAACTTTGTACTCACACTTTCATTTTTACCAGAGATTTAAGTTAACAACCATTTACAATTGTACAAAAATAATATAGATAAAGATTTTTTTTTTGTCTTTACCGTGCGCAGAAATAAAAATGTTTGATTTAAAGTACCCTCTATAAGGTTTTTGTCAAGATATACAGCAATATATTCAATTCAATTTTACTGAATTTCCTGAAACCTGAAAAAGGAAAAGCTGATGATGGGTACGTCTTGTTCCTGCCTGATAAAGCTTTGCAAGAAGAATCGAAATATCTTGAGCAAGAGGTTCCCAATTCCCAACAACCTAAAACATTCACGAGTCAATGAATATGGCCAAACGTTGCGAGCTTAATGATCAAACTGCCATAGCCTGTCTTGGCAGGTCATTAAAAAGGGTTACATGTAAAAATGTGAGCAAAAATAAGGAGCAGGAACATTTCATACACCTACTTATGTACGTGTACAGAGTACACACAAGCGGACACAAGCACACATGGACATTTATCCATTAACGCCGAAAAACTCCAAACCAATCTGCATAAACAAACTCATCAGGAGCAACTGAAACGCTGGCATTTGTTTTGATTCCATCATAAACCATAAGATAGCTCCAGACATTGCTGGCTGCGATGCCGATGCCGATGCTGATGCTGATGCAGAAACTGGTTGCTGGTTGCTGAATGCTGATGAAGTGGTTGAAGTTGCCCAAGGAGCAGACGCAAACCCAACGCGCTGCTGAATTGTTTGGCAAATAAATGCCCGGGAGCATAATGGATGGCGATGGACGGCTTGCCCGGCTTCGGTCAGCTCGTAGCCCAGTCCGTTTCTGTTATTATTTTTATATAACTTGTGAAAATAATAATAGAGCTTGCCAGGCAGGGCGTGGCTCTGCTGAGGCGGGCAAACAAATACGCCAGCAAGCGACAGTTGTATAAACACAAGTGTGAAAGTGCAGATAGTAACGGCTGATGGTCAGCGGGATCGGAACGGGACCACAGCTACATCACATCCATATCCAGCAGCAGCAGCAGCAGTGGCTCCAGTTCTCCCTCTGCCTTTCGTTTCTGTTCCCCATATGAAATTGTCCGCGTGTTTATTTGTGTTTGTGCTATGACAACAATGGAGCACGAAACTGGAACGAGTTGTGTGGTATCCAGGTCCGAGTTCCATCTGTTGGCAGGTGTTGTTGTTGCTTTCTTTTGGACAACTTTCACTGACCGGAAGCGGAAATTAAATGCATAAGTTTATTCAAGTTGTCGAGCCAACAACGTCAACTTCTTATCAAGTTTGAAGCAGCCAACCAAAGAATGGCATCCAATGCGATGAATGTGTTTTATATTGGTACTGATAGATTAGTACTTTAAAAATTGTTAATTAATATATCAAGGCCTTTAAAGATTTTGTAAGTGTGTGAATATAAAAAATATTTCAATATCAACACCTTAATGTATTAAAATGCCATATAAAAGACACACTACCAAATGGTAACCGACTGACAAAACGCTCAATGGTTGTGCACGATTCCAACGGGGATGTAGCTCAGATGGTAGAGCGCTCGCTTAGCATGTGAGAGGTACGGGGATCGATGCCCCGCATCTCCAATCAATTTTTCCGTATTCCACGTTTTCATACATTTTTTTAAATTATATTAATATAATATATAGTTTTATATCATTATTTTTTGAACTCACAGAAGATATGCCAAAATTGTTAAATTATTTATGAAGCACTTATAAAATTTGTTATTTTACACATTAGCTGTGTCCTGGTCCTTAAATTCTTCCCATTTCCATTAGGATTATATAGATAATAAGCAAAATCGAAGCAAACCAAAAAAATATCAGAGTGGGCTCAACCGGGATTTGAACCCGGGACCTCTCGCACCCAAAGCGAGAATCATACCCCTAGACCATTGAGCCTCATGGCAGATGAGGCGCCGTGAACAGTTTTGTTCTCATACCATGAAGCTATATTTACAGTTAAATAATCATCATTTACAAATAATCAAAGTGGCGTGAGATATTTAAAATAAAATAAATACATTAACATATATTTTGGCTCTAAATGTATTCCCTTTTACATAATTACATAAAAGCTTCTGCAATGTACGGGTACGCAAAGTATATTTATTGTAATTCACATAAAATTCTTGTTTGAAAATTCTTAAATGTTAGGAGAAATACATTTGTTTTTAAAATTGTATTACTGTGTATTAAAAAATGGTTATTTAAACAGCTTTTAGTCGTCGATTGAATGAATCCAAACGAAAGACAAACTTTACTTGCTTGATGTTACAACATTATAACATATTCTTTTATTTATTGTATACGTTGGGTACAGCATAAGTCTAATAAATAAGCACTGCGCAATAATATTGAAATATTTTATAATGCAAAAAATAATGTTTCCATAACCTTGGAGATGCGGGGCATCGATCCCCGTACCTCTCACATGCTAAGCGAGCGCTCTACCATCTGAGCTACATCCCCATCTGTAACTCATGCCGCCTAACTGTAAACAACGGACACGCATTTAGTTGTGCATTTTATGTGCTTTGTATTTAAATGGTCAACAAACTTATAAATATAAACCGAAAACATAGTTAAAATAATCATTTGAATAATACTTCAGTGGATTATGGCACACCCAACAAATAAACGGTTCAACCATAGTAGTTGCCGTAACCAGGGCCAAAGCCACCACCGAAATTGTTGCCGGGAAAGCCGCCCGCATAGCCAGGACCAAGAGCACCACCATAACCATATCCTGGGTAACCGCCTCCATATGATGGCACGGGTGGTGGATATGCTTGTCCCAAAGGTTGACGCCCACCACCTAGTAGGCCACCCAAGAGATTGCCAAACAAGCCACCTCCACCGCCGCCGCCAAGCAGTCCGCCACCTCCACCGCCACCTCCAAGCAGTCCGCCCAAGCCTATGATGCGATTGTCAACTCCGCCAGGTGAACCAGGAGAAGCAGGGATACCACCGGCAGCACCACCTGCATCTGGACGTTGCTGTGGGTATTGGTATTGTGCATAGCAACTGCCGAGGAGCACGAGCACCAGCAACTGTTAGGAATAAATGATGAAAAGATGCTGGAGTTTGACCAAAATCGATTTACTTACGGTACAGCTAATCTTAATCATCTTTGTATATTGTCTCTCACTTGACTGTTTGCCTGAATGCCAGAAGCTTCAGTTTTTATAACAATATCTCAGAACAAACGCCCACGTAGGCCCGGAACTGTGGAACTGTGCGTCGACCTTAAACCCACGATTTGAACGCTATCAATGTCTTTCACACGATTTGTTATTTTCTTGCATTAGTTGCTGCTACTAAAAATTCGCATTAATATTTACGATTAAGGCTTGGCGAAAAAAAAAACTGGTTCTACTTGTCTAACGTTAGTTTCAGAGTTCTTTGAACTCGTCGAGAAAAGGAAGTACAGGAAGTCTCAGAAAACGCTATAAAAGTGACAACTCGTATCTCTTGTTGATTAGAAGTTGTCCACATCATGAGACCAAACACAGTGAGTTCCAAAGTCAATGTTAAAAAATCCCCAAAATACAACGCGCATTTTTAGAGAATTCTCTCGGCGCTGGTGCTGCTGTGCCTGACGCTGAAATCTAGCCAGGCACATGGTTTTGGAGGACAGAAGTTTGGCGGAGGTTTTGGCGGGGGCTATGCAGTACCTTATCCTGTTGCCCAACCAATTCCTGTGCCTCAGCCAATTCCAGTGGCTCAGCCAGTGCCCGTTCCAGTTGCAGTGCCTCAACCGGTGCCAGTTCCATATCCAGTTGCACGGCCATTCAAACACGGCTGGAAAGGAGGTTTAGGTGGCGGTGGATTTGGCGGTTATGGTGGATTTGGTGGTTACGGTGGGTATGGAGGATATGAAAGTTTCTCTTCATACAGTGGTGGAGCATACGGCGGTGGTTTTGGTGGCTTTGGAGGAGGCTTCAGAAGACGTTAGCAAGCAATTAAGAAATTTATTGTTATTTAGATGAACATTCATTTGTTCTAAATTTACTTTTAGTTACATGATAATTAAAATATAATGTGTATAAATATTTTATAAAAACAAAATCAAATATTTAGTTTGTAACAAATGAAAAAATATATTTTGTATCGAAAAATATCTGATTGTTCCCGCCCGGGTTCGAACCGGGGACCTTGTGCGTGTGAAGCACACGTGATAACCACTACACTACGGAAACTTATAAGGTGAGGTCATTTTATTTTTTACAAGAGTTGCTATTTTAAGCCGCCATCTATTGTTCATTTGTTTCAAACGAAATAAATAGAAAATATATCACGCCATCTATTTTATGAGTAAAAGGCGTGTTAAGGCTTATAAGTTTTAACCATTATTTTTTATCTTTGAGAGTGGGTGTAAAGAAAGTGCGAAAGAGAGGCAGAGAAAAAGAAAGATAGAAAGAGAGAGAGTAAGGGCGGTGTAAATTTAAGGTTTTAAATTTATGGGTTTAAAATCTTTACTCTTTCTCAATTAAAAATTGTAATGAACATTAAACTGTAGGATACCGACCATATTATTACTAAGTATGCACAGTTTAATTTATACATTTTATTTTTGTACGCAAATGAGAGTGAGCTTAGAACTGAATAACAAACATATTTCTAATGGAGAGGATGTAATAAACATAACAATCATTATGATGCTTATAAAGATAATGTGTATAAAGTCTAACTTAGGCTATATTTAGGAACATATGGGTTATTTTCCCCACAAGCCGCCTCCGAAACTGCCACCTCCATAGCTTCCCCCGCTGCTGTAGTGGCTCTCGTGATGATATTCCTCGTGGTGCTCATAGCCACTACTGTGGCCACCGCCGAAGCCCCCGCCGACGCCAACTGAACCACCGAAGCCCCCACCAAAGCCGCCACCGAATCCGCCAGTATGACCCACCAGTCCATGCTTAAGTCCTAGCAACTTTGGAGTTCGTACTTTCAATCCAACAAAACCGGCATGCGGACCCTTAAATGCAAAGAGCTTTACTTTACCGGCTGTGGCACCTTGGAGCAGGCACACCAAGCAGATGCCCAGCAGTAGGAGCAACCGATGTGAAGAACGCTTTAAGGAAATTAAGATAAAATGAAAATAATATTTAAAAAATAAATAAAAATATGTATCTATACAGCACCCATTTACATTTTTAATGATTTCTTAAAAAATAAAATTTGTTGGATTGCAAATTAACAATTTAAAAAGCGCAAAAACAATTTACAAATTGTATGTTATTTAACATTGGACAAGACCACATTTTGTTTATGCTATTATACATAATGAGTATTTTTTACACATTTAGTTTTGAACGCAAGTTTTTACTCACAATGATTTGCATTTTACACGAAGTTACACTTTTTTAATTGATTTCAATTGTTTGAATATTTAACGTTATGGCCTCGTTAATTTTGTTGTAGTTGTTTCACTTGTTGTCTTGTAAGCTTTCAAGTCTAAATCTCTCTAAGCTGATTGATGTCGCTTGCGTGGACCACGATTTCTGTGCAATTGAAGCTGCTGCGCGGTGAGCGATCAGTTTTTATGTCGCTGTCGCGTTTTCTGCGCGTTTTTTGTCGCCCTTATGCAATCTCGCCTCGCGACGAGATCTTGTTTGTCTTCATTGTTGTTGTTGTTGCTGTGAACTTCGAATTTTATTTAATATGTTGGCATCTTTGCTGTATGCACACAAATTGACCCTGAAAATTTCTGGTTTTCATAATGAATAGGAGTAAAAAAGAAAAAAATAAAATGGAACATATATGAAAACAGTGTAAAGTCAACTGATGGAAACAAGCGTATCTGTTGGCAAGTGCTAATAACGGCTGAAAATTATGAATGGTCAGCCGAAACAGGCCCATTTAGAGTATTTCCAGTTCCAAAGAGGCGTTCTTAATTTAAGGTTTTATACCCTTGCAACGGTTACTATTAATATGTCATGAAATAAGCTGAGTTATGTCATGTTATTAGTACAATTTTTAAAATTGAATAAATATATGAAAACTCTTTAGATAAAGCTTAGCTTTGTTTCATAAGAGTTAAGCACCTTTTTAAGAACTATATAATAACAAATATAAAAGCCCTAAGCCTAATTATGTTCTGATGTAGTTCTTCAATTTTTGACTAGATTTTGTTCACCACTTGATTTCAAACATGTCAATTGATGAATTTAAAAAATTATTGAAGAGTATAATGTTTTTTGCATAATTTTTCTTGACTATATAATTAGTTTTAATTTGGCAAGTTTTCGAAAATTAGCACTACGTGATGCTAGGAAACGATTTTTAAGAGACAAATACTTCCTTTAATTAGAAACATATACAACCCAAAGCACCTCTTCGGGTTGGGGATTGTGCCATGCTCATTTATATTGAGCTCTATTTCACTAAGCGAATCAAATGAATCATCATATGCTCGTACATGCTTGGGTATTTTCGTTTTATTGACCTCCAAAGAAGAAAAAACAAAGTCCAACAAAAAAGAAATCAAACAAAATCCAAACTGAAATTTCCAGCAGTTAAAAGCTTAACATATGCAAACATTCACATTCATATGCATATCCAATTATTTACTGAATTATCTGCCATAGCCGAACGGATAGCCAAGACCGTTTCCAGAACCGTAGTTATTGTACCCACTGTACTGATACTGATTGTACTGCTGCTGGTAGCCTCCGCCGTAGTTGCCATACCCGTAGCCATAGCCTGGCCAGCCATAGCCATATCCTTGCGTACCATAGCCCAGGAAGCCGCCGCTGCTACTGCTGCTGCTGCTGGCTGCGACGCTGGCACTTGATGAGCCGTAGTTTCCATATCCTGCCCAGGGTGCAAAGCCGTAACCCGAAGACCCAATTCCTGGCCACTGTGGTGCAGCCAAAGAGCAGACACCTAGACAGAACAGCACGTTGTAAAATAAGGCAATCTACAATAACGAAAAAGGGATTAGTCGGGCAGCTAAGGCTTATAGAACTTGCTCCACGAACCTTCATAGTTGGCGCTTAGTTTTCAACTTGGTGACAAATGCTATGGTGATTTTCTTTTTATCATGTGAAACTTAAACGGAAGTAAGCATCAGTAATTTTCAATAAATAGTATATGCTCTAGGCATATAATTAAATGTATTGCGATAATAACATGATAGCATGAAGCTCAAGGTGGGCAAAAAGCAAACTGGGAAACGCCACTTTTCAAACCTAAGCAAATTTTAAATCTCTTCAACTTCATCAATTTTAACTAGTATTTTAAGGTACGATTAAGGACGTCACAGGGGGTAGGCTTCAGTGTTTCCTTCCTAAATAACGTATCAAGCCTTGACTTGAATAAGTTGAGAATTATAAGCACGAATGTAAATTTTTATCACACATGGTTAATGATGATATTCGCACTTGATGTCTATATTTTGTTGTGTATATCTCATGCCATTCGTTTGAATTCAAGTATAATAAGATTATCTAAGAGCTTTCTATACGCCATTAAAATAACTTCCTTGTCGTTATGTGGGTGGTTTTCTCTGACGTCAGCTGAGTAATCATGCAAAGGTGAATAAACCGTCAACGAAAGTGAAGGCGTAACTTATATTATACTAACTAACATGTAGATGAGTACACAAATCGCAGCGCTAGAGCAACAGCCGCCAAATACAAGAAACAAACATCGAGTGCTAATGAGCCAAATGAATGCTGGTCGCAGACGCTGATGATGTTTCCGACATCTTCCCCCATGCTTCGCTGCACGTTCTGTGTAAAGTTTGTTGCCTAAGTCTTTTGTTATTTTATTGCAGCTTGTTATACTCTTACCCAAAGCACATAATCTTTGTGAAACAGATGTGTCTATATTATATTATTATTTAGTCGTGACATTTAGTTTAATTTAATTACTTTATTCGTCAATATTCGTATTCGTGATGAGTACAGGACATAAACTAATATAAAATAATATATACTTTGCTCTACTGTAAAAAGGGTATTCAATCTTCTGTTAACTCGGATGCTTGATCAGTGAAGCGATTATTTTTATTGGGTTTTTTTTGTGATCTTGATCTTCTACAGCGACGGCCGACAATTGCCTTAACCCTCAAGAAATGATGTGTGTACGTATATTTTGACAATCGACTAAATTAACGCATTCTGAGGCCTGTTGCCTCGTCAGCATTGTTTACCGAGGGGTATTCCGTGATTTCGTCACTAACTGGTTCTGGTTCGGTTTCCATTTCGTTGTGGTCCGCTGTTGGTTCTGCAATTTGCGTAGAATTACTTGGCAATGCGTAGCGCGTACTGAGCTTCTTATGGCCGTTCATTGGGCATACAAATACAGCGGGTATATAAACGCAAAGCACTTCACAATTGCAATTTAGTTTCGTTACCGATTCGGTGGCCGACACATCCACATACATTGATTTCACACTCGGAATGGCGCGCTTGTGTTGTGTACGTATTGGTGGGTTCACCTCCTGATGCACTTGCTCATCGGTTGTTCCCTTACAGCTGTTGGCCGTATTGGCGCTTGTCGGATATGGAGTTGCAGCGCCGGCGCCTATCAAGGGCGAGGGACGCTCGTTTGGATTGCTCGGCGGTGGCTTTGGCGGCAGCGTTGGACTGAGCGCAGGCGTTGGCATAAATACGGGACTCTATAGTGGTTTCGGCGGTGGTGGCGGCGGTGATTACTATACTGGAGGTGGCTCCTACTACCCCGGCAGTGGCTATTATCCAGGTGGTGGCTATCATCATGGTGGCGGTCATGGCTTCGGAGGTGGTTACTACCCAGGCGGCGGTTACAGTGGATATGGACACAAGCCTTACTACGGCGGTGGCGGCGGCGGTTACTATCCAGGCGGTGGTGCCTACAACAATTACGGTGGATCATATGGAGGCCACTATAGTCAGTCGCAGTCACAGTATTCCAATAATTATTATAATGGCGGCTATGGCGGTGGCGGCGGCTTCTTTGGCCGATAATCAGAGCAGAATGTGATTTTTACGTCTAGTTAGCTTTTACTTTTTGTACTGAAAATCCAGATTGTTAAATACACGAAATATACAAAACATGTGAAGCCTGGAAAGCCCCTACAAAATCCGGTTTCTCTTGTTGCTACGGATGCGTTGTCCTTGTCATCGTTATAGTTGTTGCTATTGCTGTATTGTTGTCTTCTTGATTTTAATGAGCTAAACGCGACGTGCATAAATTTTATGGCCAATGATGCGAGATTTATATTGTACGTGCCTGACTAATATCTCGAGCCGGGGGAGGAACAGAATGTAAGATTATTCATCGCCTTTAATGCTATGCTATGCAGCATAAAGGCAATTTATGGGACCACTTAATCTAAGCACAGGTTCGCCTTAGATATACATTTATATATAATTTTATTGTTTCTCACAAAGTAATTGTAAATGGCTCACGAAAATATTTTTAGAATAATTGTCGGCTAAAATATAAGCTGCCAGTACAATTCTTTTTTAGTTGTACTTTTTTTAATTTTTCTTAAAAGTATTTATTTTTATTTGATTTAGAAGCTTAAGACATCAGAAGGATATCTGACACTTAAGCTATACATAAATAATATAGAGAAACGTCCTTTTGGTCCCTTTCCGTAATTATGTTCTCTTTTTTTTGCACCATTTTGCACTCTACAAAAATACAAAATCTGCGAACATGACTTGAATACGCGAAATGTAATATTTCAGAGAAGGAAAGAAAGGTGAGTGAGAAAGGTGTACTTTTTTTTTATAAATAATGAGTCGCCTTATGTGTGTTGTGTTTACGTGTTTATATATTACCTTATTTTTGACCGATTCTCCCCACAAAGCTGGATGATATGATATGATATGATGAGAGTTTTGAACATATGCGTAATAAAACTTGCAATTGAAAAGTTTGCGAACGACTATTTTATAGACGGACGGGAGCTAAATTAATTACTTATTCTCTTATTAGATTATGTGGATATATATGCATATATTTTTTAATATTTATTGTAAATATCTTAGCTTTATTGTCCAGTAATACGGAAGTGGTCCAACAAATTATTATTATAATTAAATATTATTATTGTAGTATTATAATACAATAATTAGAACGAAAATATCGGTGTCCCTTATGGGAACAGATATGTGTCTTACAATCAGTAGAGCTCAGTTTCACAAGAGTATGAGTTTTTGTTTTGTAAATATAAAATTTGTATTCAACTAGCAAAGACTTGGAATGGTTTTAATATTTTAATTATATTTCATATATTCAATATTATTCTACAATATTACTTAATATATAATCACATTTAAATACTAATCGATTTCGTTATGAATCCCGCATTGCGGCTTAGCCATAGCTGCTGCGATTATTCCTGGCACGATATGCGCCTGTTTGGTAGACCGGCTGCACTTGACCGGTTAGCTGCTGAATTATTCCATTGACCGTCGTCGAGACACCACCCAGAAGCTGTCCCGGCGTGACAGGCGGCTGCAAATAGAAATTTGAGTATATGGCTTAATCTAGAGTCGTGGCCAGACTTACCGCGCCTGCAGAGTCATAGTACACGCGATTGGGCACTGGGCGACGCACTGGAACGGGATTAAAGTTGGGGTCCACGGCCGGGTCGCTTTGCAAGTCGCCGCCAGCAGACGCGGGACGCACTGGAAGTGGATCAGCGTACGGCGCAGCGGGCACTGTAGCGGCCAGGCTGTTTTGCAAAATGCCGGGCGCAAAAAGCGACAGCCAGGTGGCAAAAGGTGCATAGGGACGCACTGGCACTGGCACCGGCAGTGGAGCAACTGGAGATATGGGATCCGATAGCAAGCCGCCACCTAGCCCTCCCAATCCGGCTAATCCACCCAGACCACCGCCACCCAATCCACCAAATCCACCATATCCACGACAACCGCCAGCGCCTGAATAAACATTGTACACATTCACGTCGAACAGAAAACGTCCCTGTTCAGGCGGATCTTGTTGGCCACCGGCGTCGCGTCCGAAAGGTGTGCAAGGTCTTCCATAGCCATACGAAGCAGCAGCAGCAGCCGCCGCATAAGGCCGATACAGTTTCTTTAGCTTCTTCTTGAGCAGCAGCGATCGGTTGTCGCCCGCATCGGAGCTCAGTTCGTCAAGCTCCTGATTCGCAGCACCAGCAAACTTGGGATTCTCCTTGTCTGATTCGCTGCTGCTCTGTCGACTATAGCGACTGCTCTGTGAGTTGTAGTTGTAGACGGCAGGCGGTGCGCGACGCTGCGGGTAATTGGAGCCGTAGTAATAGCTACGGGAAGCGGCCACAGAATAGCCGAGTGCACCAAGCAGGAGCAGGCTGATGAGCTGCATATTTGAAGGATTCTTTTTGCTTTGCTTGCTTTGCGGTACTTCTATTTCGGTGGCCTGTTCGCAACGGACTATGCCGCTAGCGCTGAGCACGCCCCAATTTATCACCTATGCATGTACGCAAAAAAAAGCCAACTAAAATTGCTAACAACTGGCAAATTTGCTGTTTTCCCTTAGAAGGCAGGCGATTGCATAATGCCCTTTTTTATTGGCTTGAATTTTTCCAGCGCATTCGCATTGTTTTTGATACAAATGCTAATTTGGGACGCCCACGCAAACTCAACCAGCGGGCAAACTCATCATCATCATCATCATTACGATCTGCAGCAACATCGTTTCGCCCACATGGCTCAGAAAACAAGTTACAAGCGACGAGTCTTGTGCGTTGACCCGTGTCAAAAACCAACAACCAACAACCAACTAACCAGCCAGCTATAGGGAGCTCTAACTTGACGATGATGCCAAAAAACTCGAAACTATATGTTGCCAAAAAAATAATACTAGATAAGTGGGTCAATGTCGCGATGACTGCGCTGGGAACCACCTTCATTCATTATGTTTCTTGGCGATGCGAGCTACGCAGACAACTGCAGAGAAAGGGCAGATGTAATAACTATCATTTTCAAAACTGTGACATATAACACATATATGGCAATAACCTATGTATAACATGCTAAAAATTTAAGATATTCTAGCGTATGCCAACAGACTGTCTTTAATTTTTAAAGAAAGACTCAGGGAAGAAGTCTTTTAGTTACAGAAACTAAAAATGGTGCATATGTCATGTTCTGCAATTGAAACAAATGAAATAATAATTAAAACACATTCATATATTTATAAAAAAAATATGCAAGTTACACCTTAGTCTTAAGCGATACAGTAAAACTACCCCTGGTTTTTACGTTGACAATTGCAATAATATTACATTTACATTAATTTAAGCACACATATACAATTTTTTTTGAAGCCTCGAGACTTGGTTGGTATCTACTGGTTGACTTAGAACTACAAAACATAACTATACAATTAGGAATATTCGGCTAGCTGCGCATGTTAAACAAAAGTCTGGATATTCATAGGTTGCCTATAACTAAGATGGGATCAGCTTTGGAAATTCAACCAGAATTAAACTGCACGCTAATTACACAGCTGTTCTGGGCTTGTTCGCCTCGGCACGCTTGCGTTTCGCCCGCAATTTCTGATTACAGTACACGCGCAAAAAGATGGCCAGAAAAACGATGAGCACTCCAAAGATGCCCAGCACCGAAATGCTGTGTTGATAAATGAAGCAGGAAAGCATGATGGCAACAGCCTAGAACAGGTGAGACTTCAGTGAGTATGTATGTGTATGTGTGTATTGTGTTTGAGGCACTCACCTGGCGAACTGTCATTATGATGGTAAACACAACTGGGCCAAACACATCAATTGTGTGATAAATAAACAATTGGCCGACCGCAGAGCATATGGATAGAACAACCATGTCGAAGACAAACTTGGGATGCTATAAATTAAACAAAATAGTTCGGTTAGCTGTTAGAAATTCCAATTTAAAATATACAATGCTAATCTAAATACGCAATCAATAAGCAAACAACTATATGAAGAAATTATGCTGTGTTTGAGACTAGACTGCACAACAGAAGAATCAACTGTAGGCATATAACAAAATGCCCCTATAATTATTGCCTTACTACGTGATGCTCATGAATGAAAATTTGATGCTTTGGTTATAGGTATTGTATTGATCTAATAAATTTGGTCTCTGTTCATACTCTCTATATAACTTATTCTGCATTTTTGCCTTGTACAATAAACTAAACACATTTGCCGGCTTGTTACACGCATTTTCAATAGAATACCCCTTTCATATTATATTATAACAACATGCTAATTAAAATGTACAATATATTAGTCTACTTAATTAGCAACTAGTATTTAGCTTATCATGATTTTAGCCCGTTAATATTCAGGTTTTCCTCAAGCTATTAATAATAAATTGGTATTCAAGTCTACTTATTGTGGGGTAGCTTACCTCTGTAGCAAACGCCAGGGAGTCCATAAAGCCGCCCTGCATCGAAAGCGAGGCGCCAGTGAAGATGGACGAGAACAAATTGACGCCGCACATCATTTGGATTGAGCTCATGCCGTAGCTCTTGAAAAGCGAGCCCTGCCAGTTGGCCGTGAAGCTGTCGAACACCATGTACATGGAGAGCAGAAAGATGCCCGTCAAGGTGGTCACACCGCTGACCTTGTTGTTTTCGGAGGAGCCGCTCATAAAGAATATCATGCCCAAGGAGATGAGCACGGCCGTCACATATTCATACGATTCATACTTGGCTTTGGACATGATTTTGCCCATCAGCATTACGGGTATGATTTTGCAGGATTTGGCCAGCACCTGTGTTGGAAAGTTGACAAACTTGAGAGCCTCATACTGGAACCAGGCACTCATGATATTCGAGAACGAGGCATACGAATACTTGTACAGAGGGGCGCGATGTCGCGTCGGGGCAGGCTGCCATTGCAGATAGAAGAGTGCCACGAAGAAGGCCAGCAGGCGATTGGCAAAGACTAAAAACTGCGAGTCCTTAAACTTGGCACTCTCGCCAGCGAAATTCAGATAATTTTGCGTCATAATCTTCTCCTGCAGCACACCCCAGGTTAAATAGGAGACCATAAGACCGCCAAAGCACCAAAGCAGCTGCACGGCCTCCTGGGAACTGGTGCGTTTGCTTGGACGTTCACGGTCCGTTATCCCACCGATGCCGCTGCTACTGCCTACGTGAATAACATCCACTGCCTCGTAGCTGGTATTGCCCGTGATGCACATATTGACGGCTGTGTGCAGGAACGTCTTATTGCCGCGTTCGAGGTAATTAGTGCGCTGCACATATTTGTAGATGAGATAGCCGGGCACGAAGACGCAGCTGTAACCGAAACAGTTGACTAGCAGCTTAAGCAGCCATGCATAGTCCTTGGACTGTGCTTCTATAAGCTGCGACAGTGTCACATCCAGCGCATAGGTGCCCGCCAGCGTGACACGCAACAGGTCCGTGAAGAAGTGTATCACCAGCAAGCTGGCGATTATAAAGGAGCTGCAAAGCAAACACAAGCACATTATCAGTCAGCAGCAACACATTCATTTTCGCATATTACCATATAATCAGCTCCGGTGCGCGATTGCTCATCTTGTAAACGTACATGTGGCTATTTCTGTGTTCCGGCTGTGTGCTCTGCACCGTTTGGCTTAAGGTTCGAACTGAATTGGCTGACACGTTCAAACGCCGATGTGAACTAAGCTGCCAAATAATCACGCCTCGGGCGTTCTAGCCGGCAAAGTCAAGTGTCATAGGTTCAATAACCGCGCAAAACTTGTTTTTGCATAATATTAGCTGATCAACAGCAGTCCCAACAACAAATACTGAAGACAGCGTTTTGCTTGGGTTATGTCTCGGGAAGTTTGTTTACATTATACAAAAAGTCGCGTGCCGCTGCGTCTGTGTTTTAGTGAACGTGAAGTTATGCTGCTGATTGGTGGCACAACCTTAACTCGTGCCAGCTGTGCAAATACTATACATGCACCATTTCGATGATTAATAACATATGCTCAAAAAATAAACCTAAATAACAAATATTACACTACCAGTGTAACCATATTTTGTTTGCGACAAAATACCAATGCTGAAATGCTTAAAGCAGCGTTGCCACCTAACTTGATTTTACACAGTAAAAACAATGCATCATTTATTTTAAATAATATGATAATGTTAATTGATGTTAAGTTTTTATTAATATTTAATAATAAAGTTCAAGCAGTCTTGTTATAAACAAAATTGCTTATTTATGGTGTAAATTTAGAATTCCTTATTGTAAAACTATCGATATGTGATCTAGCTTGCGATATTTAGCAATTAATTGAACGACCAATGATAAATGAACTAGTTTCTTTATTGGGTTTATTGAATAGTTTAATCGAACTTGTTCAAGAGAAGGCTGTACCTTTTGCGTTTTGCATTCTTTGTCAAAACTGTGAGCAGAAAATATAATTTCCGCTGGAATATCTTATAATATAAAACTGTGCGAAGCTGAAAATCTATTAATGGCATGCAAATAAAAGTTTGAAGTGGAAAAACTCAATCAGTATAGGCGTTTATACGTGCAAATACACAATTGAAATTGTGAAATTCGACGCAGCTTCAGCCCATAGAGAGAAACCCCAACAAAACGAACAAAAGGACAACTATAATGTAAGTAAATTCACCTTATATTCATTTAAGTATCATTATAGACACATATTGCATTAGAAATGCACTGTAACATTTGTGTATCCATCAATGAGTCAATATTGTTGTTGTTGTTGTTGTTGTGGAAACTGTGTATATAATTAGAATACATCCGCGCATGCCACAAATGAACTCATTTCCATATATATAAAAGTGTGTGTGTGTATGTGTTTGTGTATGCGTGTGCGATGGCAGATATATATATACAAGAAATTATATCCGTATTTATAGTTAATATAGTATATCCTCGAGGAAAATATCTTCGATCATATAAATGCTTAATCATTAGAGGTCGAATTCGGATTCGCTTTCTCGCTGCAGAGAAACTAAGTTAAAAATGTGTGCTTCAGCTTAACATTGGATTATTATTCAATATAGTCCGATAAATAGGACTAAGGAAATTGCATCCACTGCAGATGGATTTTATTGTAACAATTTAGCTGTGACATCTGGCGTTTTCTTGGGCTGGTTAATCTTCTTTTCTATGGCGGAGTATTTGCCAGCTGCTGCAATTTGCCTACCTGTCTACACGTTATTTTAGTACCTGCTGTGATGTCTTAGGCGTATAAAACTAACCAACTTTTGGATCTTCACTTACAGTTGCAAATCAAGTTTCAACGCACGCACATCCAGACACAGTTCAACTGTGGCCACAGTCAAAGCTTAAAGGAAAACAAAAGGAGGAGGACTCGTCTAACAGGATTCAAGAACATAATCAAGAGCACATCAATTGAATATTTAAAATGGTGCAGACTGGCATATCGCTAAACGAGCGTTTCACGCAAATGCAATCTCGCCAGCAACAGCCGCCGGCAGCGGCACGCGGACGTCGGAGCCGCTCGCGCAGCCGCAGTCGTCGCATTGTGGACGCAGCCCCATCGGTGGCCAATTCGCGGCTGCTGCAGGAGTTCAAAAGGAAGCACACCGTACAGACGGCCCTCAAATTGAAGCGCGTATGTGTCTTAACAAAAAACAAAACAAAAAACCACCACAGTAATTACTCTGGGATTGAGGCCATGAACTGACTGAACAAATGACAAACGCAGGCGTTTAAACGTATCCAGTGCCGTTCTGTGTGGCTGGGCAAGGCAATAAAAAAAATGGCAAAGAGCAGCAAATGAGCAGATGAGCAGCGTCAGCAAAGGATTTGTGCATTCTGCTTAATAATAGAGCACTAGATACAGACAGCCTGTTTTCATAGCTAGCGAGCAACAGTGCCCAGCCCAGCCAGGTTCAGAGCAGAGCAGCCAAGATCAGCCCAGAAATAGACCTCAATATAAATAAACCCACTTGTAGTAGACTTCTATTGAATTCACACACACTGAACCGCTAGCGCTTGAGCAGCGTCAAGTCGAATTCAATTTGTAAACGCAAAACAAAAAATCCATCACAAACCTTATGCATCTTACAGAGAAGCTTGCGGACAACTGCTGGCGGCGCCAGCGCACGCCTTGGCGGCATCAAAGCGCTCCGCCTGGGAGCCAATGGAAAGCCCGTTCGCTCAAACAACGGCACTCGCCTGGCAACGTAAGCATCACCAATAAACCAAACACACACTTGTAGCTGTTGTTGACTGATTCAGATTCAGTCCAAGTCGGAAGATTGCTTGCGAGCAGCTTTTGAATCAAAGTGCCAAGTGCTACAACAACATATGTAAAACACATCTATCTTCTGCTTATTCCGCCTCTACAACTTCAATCACATAAATAGCATGCGCGCCGATCTGATTGCCAACAACAACAACGGACGTGCACGCCGTAGCAGCAGCAGCGCCCGACGCTCCAGCGCGGCGGCCGGTGGATTGGGCCAGCGCCTGGGGCTGCGCCGACCCGTTGTGGGCGGCGCAGCAGAGCGTGTGGCTCAACGTCGGCGTGGCTTATCTCGCCAGCGGCAGCAGCAGCAGCCCCTTCCACAACTACAGTCACGCGGTCGTTCACGCAGTCGTGGACGTGCCCGTTCGCTAAGTCGCGGACGCGATCAGAGCCGTGGACGTTCCCAAAGCGTCGGTCGTGCCCAGAGCCGTGGACGTCGTCAGCTGTCGGCTAACGGTGGCAGAGGCGTTAGTGCCGGCGGCGGCGGCGGACGTGCACCGGGTCGTGTTTCAGTTAAGCAACGTCTGGGCGTGCGTCCTGGCGTGGCAGCAGCAGCAGCCGCAGCTGCAAAAGGAGCAGCCAATAAGCGACGTGGCAATCGTCGTGGCAACAGCCAGATGCGCGGCGTCACAGCCGGACGCATCGATAAGCGTCGCAATTCGTCGAACACTGCGCAGAAGACAGTGAAAGCTGCTGCTGGTGGACGCGGACGCAAAGGACGTGCACGTGGAAGGTAAGTTAAATTTGTTTCTTTATTTATCCAAGAATGCGTTGGTATATTATATCTTGTTTTCTAATTCAGATCTGCTGTACGTGCCGCTGCTGCTGCTGTTGATGCTGCTTCTGCTGCCACGCATCGCTCGCGTTCCCGGTCACGCTCACGATCTCGGGCACGCCAGGGAAAGGTTGCTGCTGGCGCTGCTGCTTCATCAAATGGACGGCAAAAGGGAGCCGGTCCTGTCGGGGCACGTCGTCGCGGACGCAGCCTACAACGGACAGGTGTCACAGTGGCCAGGGGCGCCAATAGAAATGGTAACAAGAAGAAGAATATCATCACTGAGGGTGTCAAACCAAACCAACTACAACAGGGTCGTCGCGGACGTAGTCGTGGTCGTGGTGGTCGCACGGTTGCAGGTAAAAGCGTTACAAGCACAGCTCACCGGATATCTGGCTGGACGAGAGCGCCTAGTTACTCAACATGGAATTTATTATACTGCTGTGCCCGAAAACTGCCGTATTAATCCTTGGTTTTTCTTCTTGTCCTCTCAACCTAGGTAAGCCGCAGCGTAGGGAAGTAAAGCGCGAGGATTTGGACAATGAGCTGGATCAGTACATGTCAACCACAAAATCAGAAATGGACTTTTTGCTAAAGTAAGGCAGGACGCGACGATCAAGGAGAATTACCACCGCAAGGCAGTTTTTACTAATTTTTAAGTTGTGTCTTAATACTAATTAACTTTAAGCGTCCCAAATAACAAATACTACCGGAAAGGTGTGTTTATGCTCTTTAGTTCGCGCTAATGAGGCATTCTGTAAATAGCATAACCTATAAGTAAATAACTTTGTTTGCATAATTACAATCGAAATATTTGTATAATATGCAACAAAATACAATTGACTCCTTGTTCAAACTACATGCTGCGGGTGTGTGCGTCTATCAATATGTGTGTGTATTTGTGAATTATTTGGCTAGCGAGTGTGTGTGTGTGTGTGCATTCCGTTTTTTTCAGTATATACACGGGTTCTTGCCAAGTGCCGGAAATTGACTTTTGTGCGATTGTGTTTACTTATGTCTGGCCAACCTGCGAGAGGAAGCAAATAAAGTGGACGAACTGCAAAAAACAAAAGCCAAACAACTTTCTGTACATCCCTTGGGGCGTATGAAGATAAATGTATTTATTTGTTGTCGATTTTTTAGCTCACGTGTTTGCTTCTTTTGCCCTGTAGCACAAAATAAAAGGGCATATATTTACAAAATCGAATAAAAGCCATGCTATTTTATTTTGGGCGTCATAAATTAATAATTAAATAATCGATGTTTATATATATAATATCGGTACTCGGTAGTTCTTTTTTAATTCTGTAGCTCGAGCATACACAATATAACAGTTTATGGCAGGATTTTATGGTATTTGGGATCAAGTAGGGAAATTTATTATAGCATTTTTTCTATATTTTCAAATTAACACCTATTTTTCAATAAGGTGAAATGGATGCTTGTAAAAAAAGTGAGGTGCGTTAAAATGAAAAATGTTTCTTCTGTATTGGTATGGAGCTTTTGCTTTACTGTATTGGTTACGACTTTTCTTATAGCAAATAAAATATATTATGTATATTTTAATTTTGTAAGATAAATACTTTTATTATCGTAATAACTACTTTTGATTTTCCCAGTGCAATACTAGTTTTTACAGTAGATGTATTAATATGGCAAGCATTACCAATGTGTTCTACTCGACTTGCAACATAAATACAGGGTATAAGACTTACTATTTCAGCGTGCTTACGCCTTAACTAGATTTTCTTTTCGGTGTTCTTTCAGTTCAGCAGTCTAGTTTTTCCCTTTAAGCGATTATTTTTAATTTCTGTGATTGATTGCCTAGCTCTAGATTCGAAGACAGGCTCAACGCGGTCATGTGTGTTTTCGTGTTGCTTACGAACGAGTGGCAGCCAAAAAGGTGTTGACATTGGTTTGTTTGAGTTGTTGGGCGAAAATTAGGTTTTGTCATTCTAATTAATTTCCGTCTGTGTGCGCCACCTCAAGGATCCGACTTGGATAG